AGAAGAAGAAGAAGAAGAAGAAGAAGAAGAAGAAGAAGAAGAAGAAGAAGAAGAAGAAGAAGAAGAAGAAGGAGTTCTAACTGATTCTTAGAGAGGGCAACCAACCAGTATCCTAGTATTTAGGGAAACCTGACATCTTTAACTCCTTTCTTATAAAACAGTTGTTCTGCTCTTTGCCTCAGCATCTCAAGGCTTCTACTCCTGTAATTGTAAAGTAATCCCCAGCAGGGTGTTAGTTGATGGCCTTAGGGTGTTACCACCACCAAGGGTATTTGCATTTTAATGGAAGGCTTTAAAAGAACTTCAAGCATCCAGTCTGAGAGCAATAAATCTCTATTGGTGGAATTTCATGGGATGTGATAGATTGGGCAGGTGATGTCTGTGGTGAAAGGAGCCCACTGGGTTTATTCTAATCACAGCGTGAATTAAAGTGTTCCTACTTAGTGGTAGCCTGACTTTTGCTTCCAAAGTGAAAGGTGTGAGGACAGCTCCTGTGGCCTGAATAATGAAGCACTTCTTAGCAGTTTCATTTTCTTTAGAAGCAAAACAAGTCAAAGGGCAAAAAGTTCAAATCTTTGAACTCTCCTTTCCTTTCCTATTCTGTCCATGGCTATCCCCAATTGTATACCTTCTTACCCATGCATGAAGTATACGGGTAGAATATGTCCATACTTTCTCCAAATTACAGTCTTTGAGTGTGTGTCTTTCTTTTTTTCTTTATTATATATCCCAGAGCCTCCCCCCCCCCCTTTTTATCATTGGAATTGACAGGGCAGGGTACTTGTGAAGTCTGATAGGTGGGGAAAGTAGATTAACAAAAAGATAAAAAAACTTTCCTAAAAATAAAAAGAGTGTAATACTGACTGATTTGTCTGCCATGAAGTTCTGAGAGTACAACGGATTCACAGATGTATGCCATCAGGACTGATAGAGCGATAATAGTGTAATTCCCATTGACTGCACTGGTCTCACAATTAGAGCCTGAAGCTCGAAGTGATGACACAGAACAATGAGTAAGACTCAGCTAGGTGATGCAGAGAGAAGGATGGTTTTTGGTTTTGTAGAAATTGTAACATACGCAACCCTCATAAAAAAAAAAAACCCAAGCCACACATTGTTCAGATCAGTGTGATGGATGGTACAGGATCTGTAATCCTAGCATGTGTGTTTGGGGGTTGGGGAAGAGGTGGCTAAGGAAGTGCGAAGTGAGTTCAAAGTCATGCTTCAGACACATAATGTAATCTCTCAAAGGCTAAAGATAAAAATTTAAAAAGAAAGAAAGACATTCAGTAGAAGTCAATATAAAATAATATATAAATGGTGAAATAAAAGAGTAAAACTAGAAAAGAAGATTGGGCCAAATATTAGAGAGTGAGTCCAATAAGAAAAATATTTTTAATCAAAAGTGATACACTGACAAATATGTATGTATATGTGTAAATATGTGTGTGTGTGTGTGTGTGTGTGTTTGTATGTATATCTGCATATATAGTAGAAATAATCCTCTGAAATTATTTTGGAGTGCTACCTATAAATGAGGATCTAGACAGGAAATAACTAGGTCTTAGAAAATCTGTAACAGTGAACCAAAGAAGAAATAAAGAATGATCTGGAAGAGGAGTAGGATATAGACAAGACCATAAGAAGGTATCTAAACAGAGATCATATTTAAGCATGCAAACGAGGAAAAGATATATCCAAGTATGGACATTTGGCTTAGTCAGGTGCTATTTTGCTGAACAAGGGAACGAGAAATAGATTTTAATGGGGCAGATGCTGAGTTCAGATTTGGATAAGCTGAGTCTGAGATTATTATAGAACATCTAATCGGGGATGTCGACTAGATGGGCATCAATCTGTCTGGCATCCCAGAGGAAGATCTGGGCTGTAGATGTATGTTTAGCCATTAGTTCTAGCATCTAAATGATGACAATGGAAGAGTTTACTCAGGGAGAATGGAGACTCACAGACCACTGTCGATTGATCCCCAGCAAATGATCAGTTAAAAAGTCAGGAGAATCACAGTGAAGAATAAGAGCAAGTGGCTGGAGAGACATGCGAGAGCAATAAGCAGGAGGGGATCCATATTGATTTGCAAGACAGATGAAGTAGCGAATAATCATTCCAAAAGTTTCCAGGATCTCTTGATAGGCTCGAAGTCCCGCAGTTTCAAACTGTGATCCTCTTGCTCCTTGCGTTATGTCCGTTCAACAGAAGTAATACTACATATGGATGATTTCTGTGCTTTCATTTCTTTGAGAAGTGTGCTGTTCTTCTACACATCTAACAGAGAGTCGAATTTTCTTTTAATGTTTCCTCTGCCATCTTTCTTTTCTGAAAATGGTAGTCTCATCACCTAGCCTATGCTCCTATTAGTACAGAGATGACAGCTTCCATATGTGACCTAGCACATTATCATTTACATCATAGTTATTTATGAACAAGATAAGTTCTTCCCTCTTGGCAAGAATATAAGGCCCTGAAGATGAAGAACTCACTCCTCCAAATTAGTCTCCATAGCGCACTGCTTTGAAAATAGCAGGGGTTTAGCAATTATTTGCTCAATGACTACATATATTACATAGAAAAAATAATAAATAAAAGTTTTTTTAAAATCTCTTGATGAAGCAAGGAAGTTCAGCAGAGCCAGACATAGAAATGCTTGAGGACAAAGGATAGATATATCTGATGTTTTGGGTATATCTAGGCATATATTAGTCAAATAAATAAAGGAGGGTCTATCAAAAATACAGTCATAATACTGAGGCAAAATAAAAACATAATGCTAAATATTCTTATTTGTCTCAAAGACTGTAAATACTCCATTTTTGGTGGTATTTTTCTTACAAAAGTAGCATAGCAAATACTGAACTATGTATCTGTTTTTGTAACTTAAGAAATTAATCTTCTCTAATGTGTGTATGAAAGCCAAGAAGTGCTAACAACAAGCACATTGCTATTTTTTCTCAGGGAAAATTTAAGATGCTACATAAGCAGTTTCTCAATGATGCCCTACAAACAATCCCAAGCCTCTCCAATTTGCTCTTGTATATTAAAAATAGGACAACTTTGTGGGGTTGCTCAGTTAAATAGAATAAGGGTTAAATGATAACTTGACTTATCTTTTAAATGACAAAAAATAAAGAAATTGCAAGACCTTTTCACACATTAGAGATGCATTGTCATTTATCATCTAGATATCAGGCTAGCAGTGCGAAGTAATAAAACATATCATCGAAAAATGTGCTATAGGTCTGAATCATTCTTTCCTTCCACCTCCCAGCTAACTGTAGTATTAAATCAAACAAGCAGAACATTTCCTTAGGCAGCCATTGCCTTTTAATTTCCTGAAGAACCTTAAAATATCATTCATTACAAGTACTACACATATTTGGTTTTTAAAAGTCTCATAAATCAATAGCAGGCTGACTGTAATAATTATTACAAGTTAGTGCATAATTTTCGCGCTGAAGGCTGAATGCAGAACTTCAGCATATGCAAACGAGGCAATTCAAACTGTGTATAGATATTAATATGAAGAAGCAGGTAACGAGGTACAGGCTATGAATTATGCATCAGGAGTGGCTGATCTTCAATGAGGAAAATGAATTCAGCATGTAATCTAATTAGTGATGGAAGTCTATTACATCTAACTGCAAAAAGCAACCGTCCTTGAAACAAATTTATTTACAGTCCATGTTACCACTTGAAACAACTTTGAAATGATGTGTCAGACAACAGCTTAATTGTAAAATTTTTTTGTTTGTTTGTCTCAGTTCCAGACCTGGAAGGCCTCCTAAGAGGACTCAAAGTGTCACCTCCCCAGACAACTCTCATATCATGCCGCATTCTGTCCCTGGACTCATGTCTCCTGGAATAATTCCACCAACAGGTAAGAGTGTGATTATACATACCAAAATGTTAAATAGCAACCAATATTACAGATTTTACACATAACCATCATTGCAATGGCATTTTCATGTTTTGGCTTTGTTTTGCAAACACTGAGGTAATATTCTGATAAGGGGTTATTTGAAAATCACATCATGATTACTATGATTCCTTCATGAAAATAAAATGACATGAGATTAATTAATTTAAGTGCTAAAAGTCATTTGAAATACCCCCCACAAATCTCATAAAACAAAAATTACTAGTCCTAGAGTTTTTGTTTCTTAAACTGAAAATTAGAAGCTCAGGAAGTACCGGTAACTTCTCAAGGTCAATTGCTGAGAGCTATAAGTAATTATTCAAACCCTCTTGCTTAGATTTAGAACAATTTTCATTCCAAAATGATTCAGGAATATAGATACACAAGGAAAAAAAAGACAAAATGCAATTATTTTTCAAACAAATACATTTAATTACAATCATTTAAAGGAAGGTTTTTAAGACTTTTGAAGATATTTAAGTTAAAGCATACTGGCACATTGTATAAGTGACCACAGATCATAACCAAACAGAGCTCATTTGATTTACGTCACTTAGAGATGCTTGTTAATTTTTTCATGTACTTTTCTATGTTCATGCCCACTTTTGCCTCTCAACAGGAAGAGCCAGAGCTATGTATAGATTAGCATAATGATTAAATTATATAACATTTATCACTCTGCTTAAGGAGGAGATACATGTCTGTTATGCAACACAACTAAAACCCCAGATATCTCTTGACCAATAGAGATTTCCTTTTACCTTTCAGACATACCACAACTGGCCCCAACTTGAAATCCTTCTGCCTCAACCTCCAGCAGTGTTCAGTTAGAAGTGTGTGCCTCTAACTGAAGCTAAAATTTTTTTTTTCTGAACTTCTATCAGCATTGTCTTCTTCTTTTGAAAAGTTTTCTTTTCTATGTTTTAATATATTCATTGACATCTGGTCACATTTAGTTGTTGGATTAAAATTTCTTGAACTTAATTTGAATTAAATTTTTATATCAATACCTGAAACTCATTTTTGTGAATATTTATTAAGTATCCTTTCTGCTTGGTTTCACCTATCTTTATACTTAGTACTGGTCTTAACAGTGTTCCAAAAAGTTCTTTTTTTTTTTTTTTACTGTAGGTATAAAGAAATATATATATGTAAATGTGATGTTAAGTCTATGTGAATGGTGAAGATGCATTTGTGGGAGCAGGTGTGTGTGTGTGTGTGTATGTGTGTGTGTATGTGTGTGTATGTGTGTGTGTCTGTGTGTGTGTCTGTGTGTGTGTGTGTAGGCCAAATGATGACATTTGGTGTCAAATTATATCACTTTCTGCCATATTCTTTTGAGTCTCTCACTGAACCCTGAGCTAAGCTGATGGTCGGCAAGCCCACTCCTCCGTATCTCCCATTTACCTCAAAATATTGGAGTGATTGGTGGGCGCTGCCACATCTAGTTTCTATGGGTGTGTTGTGTTTTAAATGCAGGTCCAACTTTTTGTACAGCAAACACTCCCAATCCACTGAGCAATCATTTGGGCTCCAAATAATTGAAATTGTATGTAGAAGACATATATTAATAGGAAAAATGACCCAGTTGCCTGCCAAGTATTATCTTTGCCATTTGTTTAGGTTATTTGCTTCTCATCTTATTGAATCCCACTGTCTAAAATTGTAAACTCAAATTTGACATTTGAAAAAGGAATTGGTAATATGTATTGAAACTTGAGCTATTCAGGTATAAGTAGTTGATCAAATGTTCGTGTGCCAGTCACTTTTCTTGTACTTGTTGTTAGGACAAATGCCCTAGAAAAGCTATTTAGAAGAAAGGATTTATTCTGTCTTAGGGTCTCAGTCAGGTATATTGCCTGCTGTTTCTAGGGCGGCTGAACTCAAAGCATCATGGGGGGAAAGGTGGTAGAAAGAGTTGCTCAGTTCCTGGTGGTAGATAGAGTTGCTCAGTTCCTGGTGGTAGATAGAGTTGCTCACTTCCTGGTGGTAGATAGAGTTGCTCACTTCCTGGTGGTAGATAGAGTTGCTCACTTCCTGGTGGAAGTAGAAAAACAAGAGAGAACATAACTGTTTACAATTAAATGTTCTACTAAATCCTGGTCCCAAATTCAGGCCCCAGTGTGTTGGATGGGGCCCATCTTCTGAGCAGTTTTTCTGCTGCCATTAATGTAGTTTACCCTGCCAGACCTGGAGACACCTTCACAGACTAAGGCACAATTATGCTTCCTTGCTGTAGGTGTATTTCCGTCCAGTCAGGCTGATAAAATTTATTGTCTCACTGTTCTTTGAAATTTTTGTTGCTTTTTAAACGATATGCAAATTTAAACTTTTGGTGTGTTTAATAGCTGAAACGTTCAAGTGTGGGAGCAAAAGATCTGAGCACATGTGATATCAATGATTTCACATGGATTTTTCTAATTAATTAGATGCATATTTTTCTATATTTGATAGGCTTGTGTTGCTTTAAAAAGTTACTCAATCACAGAATACATTTTCACATTTTACTCATTTAAAAATATTCAAGATCTGGCTGTAATTTTGCCTTAATTGTAAAGGCAAAGGTTTTAAATACACACTTATCGATGAAAGCAATATTTAAAATAGATGATGCCTTCAAAATCTCAATGGGGCAACACTCACATGACATCATAAAATAACTTTGCAGTAAGTAAAGTGAATAAAATAAGTCTGCATGCTTCGACCCACACATCAAATATCATGCTACCCTTGAAAAAGTCTTCCCCCTCACACATATTACAAAATATTGATGGAAGGTAGTTCCAACTTGGATTATCATTAGACATTCATTTTTCACGTCAGATCCTTTTCCGCATATCAGTTGTGGTCCATTCTTTTGAGTCATGCCTTTTGCCTCTTTGTTCTTTGCAATATATTATGAAGCCATAAACATGAATTTTCGTCAGGTTTACTAAGCATTGCACTGAAAAGGTGGGGTGATGTTTCATGAGGAGGGTAAACAGAAGGAGGTTGGGAACCTAACAGAGTTAAGCATTCTCTGTAGCCCTGCTAAGGGCTGTGAATAGTTAGATTTGCTTGATATAATCTTACTCGCCTGTTTTCATCTCTTAGACAATGGTCTTAAGATTTAAGTTCACCAGGCTATGAATGTTGTTCTCCAATGGAGTTACCTTATTGTAGATGATTTAATTACCTGTTTACACACTTTTTTTCCTAGAAGGAATTTAAGTTTTTATCAAATATAGAATCATATCTCCCCATATGGAAGCATATTATTTTCTATCCTATTAACAGGAGTTCTAAAATTTCTTTATTAAAAGATGAGGAAAGCATGTCTCAGACATGAATACACCTTCCAAAGAACAAATGTACCAACCTAAAATGAACAGAAAGATTCCAGTAGAAAATCTGCTGATTTTCACGTCCTGAGATTCAAGTTCTTAGATTATTCTTGAGCACTCGTCTGTCATTGTATCCATAGAATTCACTTTTAACTGTTTAAAACACCAAAATTTTTTCTAGCCTGGTCCTGTGAAAATAAGACCTATTAGGTTTGATAATTTCATAAATATTTATAAATTTCTTACTGGTCACTCAATTACTTTTAATTTTAATGACTGATATCAGAATATAAAAGAAGCTTTTTTTCAGAAAAAATGATTATATACTTTAAAACCATTAATAACTTAGATATTTATAATAAAAAGAGTGAGATCATACCATTTTTGAAATAAAAAACTCTATGAATTTATCTATGCTGTGTTCACTTGTTTATAATTTTCTTTGCTGGAGTGAGTTTGTGTGTAACCTTAGAAGAGGACATGGGTAGGTGGTCCTGATTTCCAGAAGTTATGGCTGTGACAAAATGCGATTTGAAGCTGCAGCTCACGAAAGGAAGAAGTCTTTTTGTAGAATCTCACAAGGCAACACACCTCCTGCCGTGGTCACAGCATTTATCCTGTTGAGCGCTTGCCATAAATCATTTTGGAATTATGCACCAGTTTGGAATAAATTCATCCTAGCAACGGAGCTCTAATAGCATTCAGACTTTTTAGAGAATCATGTCTATTATGCAATTAAGGAAAGGATGTTTAGGAATTTAGAATACTCCTTTCTTTGTGCCAGAAGTGCAATTTGGAGAGTATATTCAGCCAATTTCCTGATTTCATGTTTAGGACAGAGTGCAAACTCCTTTTGAAATATAACTTCTTTATCTGTATTCAGTAATAACATATGAATACCCAATACTTTTATTTGATATTAAAAGAAAAGCTATTCAATATTTGCTCTTTTCAAATATATTCAAATTAAATGGCTGATTCATAATTTACTATTTGGACATTGTTTTTCTCTAATTATGACTTTGCAGATACATAGGTAATACACATTCAGAAAGAAAAAGGTTATAACCCACACAGTACAATACACTATACCTGAAGGTAAGAATTTCTACCTTGCAAATTATTAAATTTTTATAAATTTCTAGATCAGGGACAGTATTACACAATGGTTAATAAAATGAAACATTCATATCTGAAGAACAAAACAAACCCACAAAAACAGTTTTAAAGGCAAATATTTTTATGGATAGATGACACTAAAACTTATTTTTGAGGTTTTTTTCTTTATTTTTTCTAGGTGGCATTAATGATGAGTAGAAATACCCAAACTACTCTTGTCAGAATGTTGGCATCTGTAGCATTTTAAAGACATTTAACATTCTCATTCTGCCTTCTGAAAACGGCTGAATATTTCCTCTATACTGAGAAATATAATAACCGTGTTCAGTCCAGTTCCTTGGTACCATCACCTTTTAAGCGCAACCCTTTGGGTGCCTTGCTTAAAAAGTAAACATGATATGCACTTCTCAGAACGCTCACTTTAGCACAGCACAGCATAAATGTGACTTCTGTGTTCATGTGTAGAAAAACTGTGAGTGGATCCCTCAAGGGTATCAAATGTCCCATGATAGAGGAACG